CCAGAGAAGAATCTTACTTCCCATCTGTGTGGCAAAGAAGCGGCTTTACATGTTTTTTCTCTTTCCTGTTTTGTGTTAGAAACTCTACTCTTAGTATTCCAGGATTAACTCTGAAGAATGAAAAAATATGGATATGTATATGTGTGTGTGTGTGTGTGTGTGTATTCTTTCAATGCTATTATATGTATCTTTCCCTTTTAAGAGCCTATTTTGGGGGCCGGTGCTGTGGTATAGCGGGTAAAGCCGCTGCCACCTGCAGTGCTGGCATTCCACATGGGCACCAGTTGGAGTCCTCGCTGCTCCTCTTCTGATCCAGCTCTTTGCTGTGACCTGGAAAGGCAGTAGAAGATGGCTCAAGTCCTTGGGCCCCTGCACTCGCGTGGGAGACCTGGAAGAAGCTCCTGGCTCCTGGCTTCGGACTGGTGCAGGTCTGGCCATTGCAGCCAACTAGGGAGTGAAACAGCAGATGGAAGGCCTCTCTCTCTGCTCTCCTCCTCTCTCTGTGTAGCTTTCAAAAAATTAAATAAATCTTTTTTTAAAAAAGAGCCTATTTTGGAATTCAAAGAGAAGAATTTGACTTGCTGAATTCTGCTTGCTGGGTTCTTTCATATTTGTCCTTTGCTAGGACAAAAGCCTTGTCCTAAAGATCTTTATTTTTAACAATGAAAACACTACAGGCATAAAAGGAAAGGCTAAGGAGGAAGAGTACATGTGAAGATATTTTAAAATATTCAACAGTTACTTACAGAACTGAAATGACTTAGGTGGTTGACTATAATATTTTTGTCTTTTGGGCAAAATCTTGGAAGAAGCTACGTATGCTTCTCAAGATGTTATGTTCAGTCTTGAAATTGACCATAAGAGGCAAATTTTTCCTTCTCTACATCCTTGGCTTTGAAAGTATTTCCTATGACACTACCTTCTTTTCCATGCACTTCCATAATCTGGGAGGGCTGGCTGGCAAAATTCCACACAGTAAGCAACATCACTGCCATCTAATAGACTCAAACTATCTCCTTGGGGAGAAAGAAAAAGCTCCTCGTGGCTAAAATTGTCAAGTATGAGATCTGAAATCTCTGCAAGGAAAACTGTGGGGAATGTTATTCCCTTGGATGGGAGATAGGATGGGTGACTGGAATGTCCTTGTCCCAGCTTGTTAATTTCTACTATTGAGGAAAACAGACCTTAAAAGGAATAGACGCAGCACAATTTTCAGAAAACAAAAGTGAACCCAGCTATTTTAATACTTTGAAAAGTGTTTTATGAATTCCTTCATTTTAATGACTTATTTGCATTTATTTGAAAGGCAGAGGGAGAGACAGACAGACACACTGATGTCTTCCATCTGCTGGTTCACTTCCCAAATGGCAGCAATAGCCAGGCCGAAGCCAGGAGCCTGGAGCTCTATCTGGGTCTCCACATGCACTGTACAGGACCAAGCACTTGGGCCATCCTCCACTGCTCTCCCAGGTGCATTAGTAGGGAGTTGGATTGGAAGTGAAACACCAGTACTCAAACCAATGATCCAATATGGGATGCTGGCATTGCACGCTGCGGCTCAACCTACTGCTCCACAACTCCAGCCCCGATTTATGAATTCTTAATAAATATTTGTTAATGATAAAATATCTGCACATCAAAAAGAATCAATTAAGTGCTAACATTATCACAGATTTAAGCCCTAGATATTGGGAAAAGGTACCTTAGATATAGGAATTTATGATAGTAAACTTACATTTCTTTCATAATATCCACAGAATGCTTATTACAAATTCCATGCAAATGGAGCGGACTTATTCCTAACATTAACTATTGAAACTAAACTCATTTATGCTGAATACTGCCATGTCAGGTGTATAATATACCTCAGAGATAATTCATGATGCATCAACATACCTATGTATGTATGCACATATGATTATATGTATATAAATGCATGTCTATATATACACATATGTGGAGTATGGATTAAAAGCATGGCATTGGAGCTGGATAGCCTGAGTAGTACCATTTATTAGCTGTGTGACTTTGGGTAGCTTACTAAGCCACTCTGTATCAGTAACCTCATCTCCAAGATGGGAGCAATAATTCCACCTGCACCATGGAGTGGCTGCAGAAATTAAATGAGTTAAGACATGACTGCATAAAAGTTTATAAAAATGTGAATTTTATTATGAGAGTATATAAAGCCCTATGTTGGGTGCTTTGAGAGATAAAAATTAAGAGACATAGTTTCTACCCTTACATGTTTACCATCCAATTGGGAACCTAAGCTACATTCCCACATACATTTAAATATTAATCCCTGCAAAGAAAGCCAAGATTCAGTTCAGCAGCTCCACTCTCATAAATACAAAATTCATAGGGAATTGGTGACCTGGGCCAAAGAAGTATTTCTGCAAAAGGTATTAAGTCTTGCATTTGTTGTTTTTTCACCTGATGTTTATCTACTTGATATGAAGACAGACAGACTGTATAACAAATGCTGTTTGCATTAACCTAGCAGATGCTAGTCCTGCAGTGGCTTAGCCATGGGTGAGCACTGAATGGTGCAGACGCTGATGCTGTATTAAGACTCCCAACAACAGAGGAGAGTTGAGGCTGAGTCCTCTGAGAAGTGGACCAGCCTGTCAAGGCCTGTAGGGGATAGAGGCATGGGACTACTGTAGCTCATTTTATTTTCTATTTTATGAGATTTACAGTGAGTTCCAGACTATGATGATCCAGCTTAAGAGGCAATTTTGCACAAGAATGGGTATAAAACAGTATGTGTCTAACTGCCTAAACAACAGTACAGTTACCAAGTGCTCTGTGAGGTCAGGATAGGACTGCTTGGTGTGGCCTGGGGTGATCATGGAAGGCCTTGGGAATAAGAGATTATAAAGAGACTTTAACAAGAATATAAACTAATCCTCAGATGAATTAAAATCCCTTTAAGGTCAAATGTTAATTCCCTAAACTTAATGTGCCACTCTAGACTTTCATCCACGGACCCTCTCTAATTGGTCTTCATGGCAAAAGATAATTTTATGACTAACTTGCGAGTTTAATAAGTATCTATGGATTGATCTGAGAATACAGCCCTCAGCTATGATATTGATTCTGCAGATGGGGAAAAAGAAGATATTATGAATTTCAGACAATTTGCAAACCCATTTTTAAAAACTGCTCTGATTTGTTCTTTCATTCAATAACTATTTATCAAGTGCTTTTGATGTGTCATGCACTACTGTAGGGACTGGGGATACATCTGTGAACAAAATAAGGATCTCAAGGGCAGGCATTTGGCGTAGCAGTTAAAGATACCACTTGGGATATCCACATCTCATACAGGAGTGCTGAGTTTGAGTCCTGGTTGCTCCACTTCCAATTCCAGCTTCCTGCTAATGCACACCCTTGGGAGCATTAGGTGATCGTTCAAGTACTTGGGTCCCTGCCATCCACATGGGAGACCTGGATTGAGTTCCAGGCTCATGGCTTCAGTCTCACCCAGCCCTGGCTATTGCAGACACTCGGGGGAGTGAAGCAACATATGCACGATATTCTCTCTCATATTTCTCTCCCTCTCTCTCCCTGTCTCTTTCTCTCTCGATCTCTCCCTCCCTCCCTCCCTTCTTCTCTCTCTCCCTGCCTTCCAAATATATTAAGCAAACCAAAGCAAAATCAAACCAGCATCATTGCCCTCATGAGGCTAGAGTTTAAAAAAAAAAAAGCAACAGTTAAACAAAAGCATAATAAACAATTTGCACAGTGTGCTGGTGATAAATGCTATGGATTGAAAAAGAGCAGGATAAAGGGGTGAGGGTGGGTGGCAATTTTAAATAGGATGGACATTGAGAAGTTGACATTAAACAAAATGTGAAGAGAATTGGCCAAGGTAACTGAATACATCTGAGAAAAGAGCATTTAAGGCAGAAGAGCCAGTGCAAAGGTCCTGTGGCAGGAACTTATCTAGAGAGTATAGCAAGCAGGCTAGTGTAGATGGAGGGAGGATAAGAGAGGTAAATTGTGCAGGGATGAAGAGGGACACGCCAGAGCATATAGAACCTTGGAGGCTACTGGATAGTTTCTGAAAAAGTCAGAGATTCTTGTATGAGACTGGCTTAAAGTAGGGGCTGCCCGTATCAAAATAATTACTCCCTTTCTCTGTCTCCATCATTTAAGCTTTAATGTGCATACTGATAATCTGAGATGTTGCTGAAATCCAGATCCTGCTTTAGCAGGCCAGGGGTGGGGCCTGTGATTCTGCCTCCTCAGCAAGGTTCTAGGGGAAGCCAGTTTGCTGGTGCACAATGACACCTGGAGTAATGAGAGTAAAGAGGCACTGAGTTCCCAGGAGCTGTGTGGCTGACCCCCTTTCATTAGCTGCCTGTAAAGGCCTTTTGGTTCCCTTTGAACCTTAAAGGACCATCTCAAAAGATTTTTTTGCTTCTAATTTCCCATTAGCCTCGAGTTTCCTCACTACTCAGGGTCGGATCATCAGGCTAGCTCTTTGGGAACATGAGGCAGGATGTCTGGCTGCTTCCAGGATGACAGAAGCTTCTAGGCCACCCTCACCGCCACTTCGAGGGCTCTGTGTCTGCCAAGAGGCGGGGCTGACCTTTTGAAGGGAGGCAGCAAAGGAAGCCGCAGAGAGCAGGCCTGCGATGACACAGCGAGTTGTGGATATAAAGCACAGGCTATGGAGCCAGATGGACTTGGGTGTGAACTGTGTAATCTCAGAAACGGCCCTTGGTGTCTCTGCGCTGCAGTTTTCTCACTTGGAAAGTGGGAATGATACCAGTATCTCCCTCGTAAATCGAGAAAACACATAAAGCAAAGCGCCTGGTACACACAATGCGCACAAAATACTGGTTGCTTTTTTTTTTAAATATGTAATTTCTGTGAATAATTTCTATGTATTTATGTTTTCGTAATTTATATCCACTGAGGAGTTTGCTTGGAGGCGTGGCGTGATAGCACCCACTTTCACCCCTCGAGTGAAGGTACAGCGCTAGTACCTCGGCAAAGGTGTCCAGAGGTGAGACAGCGGCTAACTGCAGTTTCATCACGACAGACGTCAGAAGAGATGAGCGAAGGGAATGAAGACGGGATGGTAGGTTAAAAAAAAAAAAAATAGGTGGTGGTGGGGTGGTAGTGATGGCTTCTGGCTCAGGTTGTCGCGAATGAGAGGAAGCCAGGGGCTCTAAGAGACCCTGAGGCTACATCTGAGGCCGATGGGAACGGATTTCAGCCGCGCACCTTCCAGGCCCGCCTCAGGGGAAACTTGCTAACAGGGAGCGCGAGTCAGGCAGAGGTGGGAGCGGGTACCTCTGAGGGGGGTGGGCTCCTGCGCAGCTGCGGCGGCGGAGCCAATCACGGGGCGCAGCCCGTCCTCGCGCGACGGTACAGTCGTACAGTCGTTACGTCGACGGTTGCCATGGAGAGGCCCGCTCGGTTGGAACCGCGAGCGGGCGCCCGGAGCGTCGGGGTCTGAGCGTGGGTTTGAAGCCGCGTCCGCTACCGTCATGAGCGGCCGAAGCCGGGGTCGAAAGTCCTCCCGCGCCAAAAACCGGGGCAAAGGCCGCGGCAAGGGCCGAGGCCGCCCTGCTCCCGACGACGCCCCCCGCGACCCGGACCCCCCACAGTGCCAGCGGCTCGGGGACGACGCCGAGGCGGCACAGGTGCAGGCTGGCGCGGGTTGGGGTGGCCTGGAAACCGCTGCGCCGGCGCCGCCCCTCAGGCCGGCGGAGGAGGCCGCCTGTGGGCTCCCCCTGGACTGTGGCCTCGCGCTCCGGGCCCGAGCTGCGGGGGACCGCGGGCTGGCCGCTACCAGGCCGGCCTCCGGGCAGACTATGTCTCTATCAGAACGCCTGGCAGCAGACACGGTCTTTGTGGGAACCGCGGGAACGGTGGCAAAGCCAAAAAACGCCCCCCGCGTTGGAAACCGGCGTGTCCCTACTGGGAAGAAGGCCTCAGAGACCTGTAGTGCCGTGGGCCGGGGGCCGCAGGCCGTAGCTGGCGGGAAGACGAAGAAAGGTGCGGCCGCCGCGGAGTGTGCCCCCGCGCCAGTGGGCGAGGAGAGGAGAGCGGAGAAGGAGCCGGGGTCGGGCCCCCCAGCCACCGACGGCAGCATGGATACGCTGGAGACCGTGCAGCTGAAGCTGGAGACCATGAACGCGCAGGCGGACAGGGCCTACCTCCGCCTCTCGCGCAAGTTCGGGCAGTTGCGACTGCACCACCTGGAGCGCAGGAACCTCCTCATCCAGAATATTCCCGGCTTCTGGGGTCAGGCGTTTCAGAATCATCCGCAGCTTTCCTCCTTCCTGAATAACCAAGATAAAGAAGTGCTCAGTTACTTGAATAGCTTGGAAGTGGAAGAGCTGGGTCTCGCCAGATTGGGCTACAAAATCAAGTTCTACTTCGGCCGCAACCCCTATTTCCAAAATAAGGTGCTCATCAAAGAATATGGGTGTGGCCCATCGGGTCAAGTGATATCTCGTTCTACTCCAATCCAGTGGCTCCCCGGGCACGACCTCCAGCCCGTAAGCCAGGGGAACCCAGAAAACAACCGTAGTTTCTTTGGGTGGTTTTCCAACCACAGCTCCATTGAGTCTGACAAGATTGTTGAGATAATCAACGAGGAACTGTGGCCCAACCCCCTGCAGTACTACCTTATGAGTGAAGGGGCCCGCGGAGAGAAAGGAAGGGAGGTCAGGCCAAGTCCCACAAAGCAGCCAGGCGAGACCCCTGAGCCTGGGGTGAAACAGTCCAATTGATCCTGCCCAAGTTTCCCTACTACCTCCATGCCGGGCGCGTTGCTGGCTGACTACATGTGTGTTGGGCTGTCTGCCGTTTCTTTACGTTGGCCTCTTTGCACTGTAGCCCGTTTGGACTTTAGCTACAAGAATATGGCACTCATGATCATGTTCTTTTGCCTCCCCACGGCCTTTGCTCGTTTACAGTAGTGTCACATGTTACGCGATTTTGTCCGCACACATACTTTTCAGTTGTGTGCTGCCTTTCTCTGTACTGCTTGGACTCTCTTCTGGGCTCTGGCCTTTCCGACTTGTCTTTAACGTGGACACTCGTGGGTCATCATCCAGGAGGACCAGTTCATTTTCAAGCTCTACTGCTTCAGGGCCAGTGACTTACTGGGCTTTGTGTTCACGGTGGCCATGCGTGTCATCCATGGCACACTTTTCCATTGCCATGCCAACATGTGCCAGTGCACATGGTAGTGACCATTAGCCAGAACTCAGTGTTCATTACTCTGGGGTCACCAGCCAAGGTGCCAACTACTTTATCTCCAGCTTTGGCCTGTGATCTGTACTGCCCTGCTGGACACCCAGCAGAATGGCCCTTGACTGACGGGCATGGAAGAGGTTAAGGTCAAGAAGCAGTACGCCCTGTGTTTTATGTCATCATACGTCTCTTCTTGCGTCACAGCCCTTCTGCTGGTGAACTTTCATCAAGGTTTGGCCACTGAGTTTTGTCTAGGTTGCTGTTGACCCTGATTAGCTTCCTGATCAACAAGGACTTCGAGGATTGCCTGTGGACCTGGGCCCCTGCCAGTGCATGAAACACACTACCCTTCCCAGCTTTCCAGGAACTCTACTGGCTACCAGACTGATGGGCGGGCTGGTATGTGTGGACATGTACTCACTGTCATCCTGCTGTGGCGCCAGGTGAGGGTGGGGAATCGGGTGCACATGGAGTCCAGGTACTTTTGTCCACTTTTCTTATCCCCTCCTAGGACCTGACCACAGTGGGGTCATTGCGGAAGAGGTGTTTCTGATCTGTGAACTTCTGTCTAACTTTATTTCACAGCTCCATGCATCTTTACTTGACCTTTCTTGTTCTCCCTCTTTTTCCCCCCTTTGCTGTCACAACCCTCTCCCCTTCCATGTGGTTTTTGTTTAAATAGTACTGCAACTCATACAGAAAACAGAAAAACCCAGAGTTGTCTACATGCAGCGAGGGAGACTTCTGGGGACTTGAAATAGGCTAGAGGAAACCAGAAAGCCAGACAGGTCTGTGGTCAGACCCTGGGTGCCATTTCCTTATTTTGCAGTTTTGAAGTTGAAAATCCTTTTCAGGCCTGTGCATCCGCTGGAGTTAGAAACCCCCAGGCAGCTGTGTTGGAGAGTAGTGTTTACTAGTGTTCTGACTTTTCTGGATACTATCTTGAGACCAGATGCGTCCTGCCGTTTCCTCCTCTTTGTTGCCTCTCTGTATCCTCAGCCCCCAGCTTTGCTACTCTATGTGGTCCTTTGTTCTCATTTCTTCTGCCTTCAAATACCCATAAAAGTAGGCTTCAGTCTCCAGCATGGGGGTCCCTTGGCTCTCCTGAGGCACGGGGATGAAGGTCGTCATTCTCCACGTTATTTTCAGTGGGTATGAAAGCCAGCTGGGCTCTCTTTCCTGCTGTCATCCCTGTGGCTGGGAAGTAGGGCTTTCTACAACATGCCCTCCTCCTAACTTCCCAAGTTCCCATGCAGGGCCTCATTCTAAGTTCCACAAGGGGGTCTTTGATGCAGTTATAGTGAGGATGTACTAGCTAGGCAGAGTCAGAGCAAAAATGTGTGAGAAGCATGATCTTGGTGTGGAGTGTCCTCGAAAAAGACACATGGCTTGAAACGTTTTAGGGAGAGCAGGCCTGTCTCTGAGCGATGGAGGGGACACGCGGGTCGTCTCCCAGGGTTGAAAAAGGAGAACTAAGGTGTGCTCAAAGTTTTTTTTTTTTTTTTTTTTTTTTTTTTTTCCCTAATCTTTATCATCATTAGTGGGTTTTATGAATCAGACATGGACCAAAAATGATAATGTTGCTTTGGATGCTTTCTCTTTTGTTCTAGATGTGGCCTTGGGTATATGGAAGATTAATGCTATTTGCTGCCTATTTTGGCTCTAGGTAAAGTCTTACCACTTTTCCCATTTTTTGCCTATTGGGAAAACAGAGCTGTTTAATTTGCTTTTTTTTAAAGACTTGTTTTTGTTTATTATGGGCATTTTCAGACACACACAGAAATGGAGTAGGTGGTCCCTAGACCTAGTGTGCCCATCAGAATATCTTTATATGTGTGTGTGTGTATGTGTGTGTATATAATATATGAAGACTTGTGTGACTGTTAGGATTGTTATCAACTTGTCCTGGTTTTATAACTCTGGTCTTGGAAATATAATTGGGAAATTTTTGCTGTGTTCTGTGAAACTGAGCTCCCAAAAGTAATCAGTAACCGGTTGTTGTACTTGATAATTTGACATCCTGGTAATAATGCACTTATTTCTGTGTTCCTAAATAGTATATATAGTTGTAAACTTGCCTGCATGATGGAAAAAATAAAAACCTCTATCTCTGTTATATTTCTTATTTTCAAAAAATAATTTGAAGTTTATTAGGCAAAGACTGGGCAGTGGAGAGGAGATTCATAGATACGTATATTCATACATACATACATGCATTTTGAGATAAGGGATTCCCAAACCTGAGACTGCTGTGTGATTGGCTACACAAAAATACAAAAGAATTACATAAAATTCTGATCCTCAGGCCTTTCTCAGCGATTGCGACTCCGTGGTTCTCAGAGGAAGCTGGTTTTTAATAAGCTTTTAGCAAGGTGGTTCTAGTAGAAATTCAGTGCTTCTCAGAGTTTCGAGTGCATCTGAATCAAGTGGGAAATCCTGTTAAAATGTGGTCTATGATTTAGAAGTTCAGGGCAGTACCTGAGAGTCTGCATTGCTAATATGCTTCCAAGTGGTGACAGTGTGGTGGTTTGTGAATTGCATTTTGAGTTGCAGGGAGGTGACCTTGAAGGCCCTTTCAAATTAGAGAAACAGTGCTCAGACTTAGTTGCATGTTAAAATTATGTGGGAATCTTAAAGTACATGGTCCATGCTCCTCACAGAGACCAACTCTGATCAGAATAGGGGAGATCAGAATAGTGGAGTTGTTGCTTCAGGCACAGATATTTTAAAAGCTGCCCAGCTGATTTGATGTATAGCTGGAGCTGAGAACTAGACTTTGTGATAACTCTTAGTTTCAGAACCATAACAAGGATCATTTTCTATTAGTCAGGGGAAGCTATGGCTGATAACCAAGTATCCTATAAGCTGCCCAGCAGAAATTTGTTGGAACAAAATAGAGGGGTTTGTTCATTGATAAGGAAATAAAATGTGTTTGTTGGTGGAGGGCATGAAAAAAAATAAATGTGCAATGAGGACACTGTAATCTTGCCGCTGAATGAATGAATTCATTTAAAATAGGGTTTATATTCAGATACTTCAGGGCTAGGTTGGTCAATAAATTTGTTGGGTGGATTAAGTTTGATAAGGATATCAGTATTAGTTGGCTGAGGCTCCCATACCCAGATACCGCCGACTGGGTGGCATAAACAACAGAGGTTTATTTCTTTTTTTTTATTTTAAGATTTATTTATTTGGAAGAGTTACACAGAGAAGGAGAAGGGGGGAGGGGTCCTCCATCCGCTGGTTCTTTTTCCAGTTAGCTGCAACAGCTGGAGCTGTGCTGATCCAAAGTCAGGAGCCAGGAGATTCTTCCAGGTATCCCATGTGAGTACAGGGGCCCAAGGACTTGGGTCATCTGCCACTGCTTTCCCAGGCAATAGCAGAGAGGTGGACTGGAAGTGGAGCAGCCAGGACTCAAACTGGTGCCCATATGGGATGCTGGCACTGCAGGGGGTGGCTTTACCCCTTTACCTGCTACGACACAGCACCAGCCCCCAGAGGTTTATTTGTTCAGGAGGTGTGGAAGGGCTGGAGGTTCAGAGGTGGGTAGGGTTTGTTTCTTCTGAGAGCCTCTCCTTGGCTTGCAGATAGCTTTCTTCTCTCTGTCTTCATGTGTTCTTTCTTGTATGTGTCTGTGTCCTAATCTCTTACAAAGATACTGTCCATCTCAGTGGCCTCATATAACTCTTAGTACCTTTTAAAGACCTTGTTTCCAAGTACAGTGACATTCTGAAGTACTGGGGATCAGGACTTAGGCGTAAAAATTTATTTTGGTGGGGGGTGAGGGAGACATTTCATTTCGTAGCAACATCTTTCATCGTACTCTTTGGACACATACACGGCACATGTTAGAGTAGTTAATTTTATTGAGGCTTATGGTGTACAAAGCACTACTTTACAAGGAGAATTCATTGAAGTCCTATAAGGCAAAGTGATGTTATCCCCAGTGAGGGGAAAGAATGAAGAAAAGGGGTGAAAACATGTTAATTGTTCATATTCATGCTGATAATGGAAGAAGCCAGGCTTTAAACTGAGGCTATTTGAAGAATTTACATTCATATGAGTTATACTTCTTTTTTTCCCCAAAATAAAAGATTTATTAATTTGAAAGGCAGAGTGATAGAAGGGGAGATTCTCATCTTCTGGTTCACTCCCCCAGATAGCCACAATTGCAGGGACTGGGCCAAGCCAAAGCCAGGAGCTAGAAACTCCATAGGAGACCCCCATGAGGGTGATGGGGCCCAAGTATTTGGGGGCATTTTCTGCCACTTTCACAGACTAATTAACAGGGAGCTCGTTTGGAAGCGGAGCAGCTGGGCTCCCAGCAGTGCTCTGATGTGGGATGCTGGCAGCAGCTTAACGCACTGTCACAATTCCAATCTCTGAGAGCTCTTGATTAAACACAGGAATAGTCTTTAAAATAAATAGGTCCTCACCCATTTTCCATTGTTATATGGAACTGTGTTATAAGAAGTAGTTTCTAATATAAGGATAACAATCCAAGCCTGATGCTCAGAGGCCCAGTAAGGGGTGTGTATGTGTTTGCACACATGTGTGTTTTGGGGGGGGGGGTGTTGTAAATTAGGGGCAGTGGCTCTGCAGCTCCAGCTTACTGCTTCCTTGGGGCAATGCAGGCCTGGTGTAGCTACATCTGCAAAGATGAGTACAGAGTCAGGATCTTTATGTAGAATCTCATTTTGAGCCAAAAAAACAAATTTTTTTAAACACCTAAAGTTTTTTCTCTTAGCTTGTATGTAGTGTATAAAAGGAAAGGGAGGTCAGCCTTTTTTTTTTTTTTTTTTTTTTTTGGCCTGGAGTTATCAGTCTGTTTCTTTCCTGCACAGGACTGGCCAGTACTTTAGATCTGTGTATCCGTATGGATTGAGGATGGGCTAAAGGAAGCCTCCCTCACCCTTGACTTTAGGTCAGACTTCACAAAGCACTCAGACCTTTCATAACCTGGAGAGTGAGGGCCTGTGGGATCATTTTAGTTATACTAAGATTCCCTGGCCCTTTTTTCAGCTTTGAGTTTTATTATAAAAGTCCCTTTTCTGTTTGCTTGTTACCTGCTGGGCTTTTTGGAAAGTGTAGTTGGTTAGTACTATGCAATAGATGAGAGAGAAGAGAGAAAAATAAGTGGTCCTACTACTTTTGGCTTATAAAAATCTCTTCCAGCTTCTGACTGTACCTTCTTACACATTGGGGTTTCTCCCTTTACTATACTGAAGTGATTTTCAGTAAAGGAAAGAGACATGCTACCCCAAGGGGGCATGTTAGAATCACTGAGGGAGGGAACTTGGACAAATATGTTTGCCCCTCTAAAAATTGAGGTCCTCAGCCATGAGATCCAAAGCCTTGCTGAACCACTTTAACTGATAAGTAGAGTCATATCCTCAGGTATCGGATAACAAGAAAAGTATATAGTCAAGGGTATCCAGTCCATGGTTTCTTTTTAAAAAAAATGTTTTTTAAAAGATT